AGTTTCTGTTAAGAATATACTATTTGAAAGTTTCAATCTTCTGTACCACCAGAACGCATGCGCAGAGAGATGTGTGCAAAAAAGGGAACAAAGCCAAGTAGCTTAACATTTTAGATACCACCTGTACATGCTAAAAACAATTCAGCGTTCAGACTTTAACTCAACACATCAAAAACAAGGACACACCCACCCAAATGAAGCAACAAGGAAAAACAGACAAAGTAAAAACCCAGGAAAGACACCACGTGATAGCCCCAGCTTCAAGTGGTTCAGCTGATCACAGTTTACTCATCAACAACAGATCATTGGCAATTTAGCTTCGGGGCGCTCTATTTAACTTTTTAACCTGCTATCTTTCGTGCTTCCTCCCGCTTTTGAAGAGACCACCCCACCTTAGCTTCTCCTATCTTCTCTGCGTATTGATTTAATCATGTATAATTTTCGTTGTTATTGGGCTCTGTTGGTCCTGTAACCTGGGGGTATTTGCTTCCCCGTCTCCTCTTGTCTGCGCTCTGGTTCACTTGCCACGTCTGTAAAGGCAAGGAGGTTCCAACAGAGCCATACCGCCAATATGACATTTCTCTGCACTTTGCGCTAGCCTTTCATATTCTGGACAAACGTGGTCTTGCTGAACTAAATATGTGGATGGTGTAAGCACCATAAGTAGGTTCTGTAGGGTATCGTTATGTAGTTCAATTGAAATAATGCCAAAAATCCATAGCTACTGTGTGTACTCCTATTTCGCCATGGACATGCCGTTTTCATGTTGTAAAATGTTCAGAAAGAGCGACACGCCGACCTAACTGCGGTGCGTTGGTTTGATACTCCCTTGGTGACTGAGTGATCATCGCTGTGCGAACGTCAGGCCAGGCAGAGAGCAGCGCTATAGTCTGGAGCACCAGGTTCGCCTCTCTCTACAGGTCCGTGCATCAGTGCAGGCCACTCTCTTGTCCTTTCTACCGCTAAACGTTGCCTACAGACACTCAACTGTACAGTCTTACGGTGTCAGGTTCATGTACTCGCCTCGACTACTCACGCCTACGCCTCCGACTGTGTAGGCGTTGCTAGTGAGCCAGGTCGCCCCCCACGCGCAACACACCCTACGATCTGACTTGACCATACCGACAACGCGCATGTAAATTTACATGGTTTGCCAAATTGCCAAGCAAGAGCTGGCATTATCATAGGAGCTATACTGGAACATTATCCAAAGCACTGACCAACTGTGCATGCCTCACGGTCACTACTATTGTTACCCTTTGCATCCAACACATGTACTGCGGAAAAATATGACGTAGAACTTTTTCTTTACTGCCTAATGTTCATTGTACCTATTTGCATGTTCAGGTCTGCGTCACTGTACAATCTAGCACTTGGACGACACAGCCTGTTTGGAACAACTGAAGCTTACCAACTGTACAGAACTCAGGGACCACCAACCTCCAGTCCTGTAGTCCACTACCCAATTTGATAGACATCTTGTTTACTGTAGAGAAATAAACCCAAAGACGTTTACGGAGTTTAAGATGTTAAAGCATCAACAAGAGTTACATTCATTTTCTCTTCAGGTGTCAGCAGTGTATCGAGGCTGGATGTGGCTGGAGCACAAACGGTTGTTCCTGGGCGACTGAAGGAGTTATGAAAGTAATTATCTATTCATCATCTAAGCTAGGCTTCTCCACGCTCTATACACTTATGCTCAATTTAAACATGCTACATTGGAACATCAATACAATCACCACATTTAGTGAAAATCGACAAGAAAACTATGAGCTTAACTGTATTTTGATAATCGCAAATTACTGGTAGACTACTTACTAGACTGACTAGATGAGACTAACTGATGCTATTTAGTTGATTCAGCTATAACTAACCTCCTCAATCAATCACAAAAAACGGTGCAAAAGTGTGGTGATATATATGTTCTTAATATATGTTGTTTGTATATCTGGACTTTGTAACGAAAAGAATTTCCCCCTGGCATTATTAAAGAATTTCTGATTCCAATTCTGATTCTGATTCCCTACTGTAAATTTCTCTGTACTAAACACATAGTGATAAAATATTATGTTTATCTTCTCATCTACCTACTTCAGTTATAAATACAAATGTGCATTTATATTTCCTAAATTGTCAGTCTATTCCTTAATTAACCTCATGAAAGAACATAAGTTGCAGTCATTATACTGTACCTTAACAGTGGCTGTTAGTTAAACCTGCTAAATTTCTCCTCTTCATCTCTTCTTGCAGGACAGTGTTTGCCAAATGATGGAATCAGGGATGACGTTTTCTGTGAGTCTGAAGCTCTTCTCACACACACTCTCCCTCTGAACTTCACACCCCATTCACAGTAATGGATGGGAATCAATTGTGTGTGTTTATGTTTTACTTTCAGAGGCCAGAGATCTCCTCCATCACTCCCAGCGTTGTGTCTTTCTACGGCAGAAACCGTGCGATGTTGTCAGGTTCTAACCTCAGTGATGTGACCAGAGTGAGGATCCAGGCTAAGGATTGCACCCCAAAAGAGTGAGTCTATTTACAGGTTGTTTGTATTTACATTACCCATAACAATCCCATTACAATAATCATATTTTCCATTTCATGTTTAATATTTTCAATTTTCAAAATGTTATATTTTTGAGCGAAACTTTTGCACACCTGTAGAGCGACAGGTGCAGGGTAACAACGTGTCCTAGGAAAACCTGAAAAAATCTGGAACCCTAGAGACTAGTTTTCCAGTCATGGAAACACCTGGAAATTGATTAAAATGACCAAATACCTGTGGTCCTTGCTGCGTGTTATTTCCTGTCATTCTTCAGCTGTTACTATTGATTAAGGCAATAAAAACTGGAATTAAATGTATCAATACTAGGCCTACCACAGCTGGTAAATTATGAGACTGTTTGTGACTCTCTAGAAAATGTCCTGGATAGGTCCTGGAAAATATTTTTTTCATAAGAGTGGGAACCCTGGAAGACCATTTGTGGACAATTCAGAACAAAGGACTCCCGCACACTGTCCTCTTCTCTTGCAGTCAAATCCTGTATATACACAGACCTTCATCCGGTTATAACCTGAAGGTTATTAGCAGTAAAAAAATAAAAATAAAACACATTAATGCATCAATAATTATTATACAGTAATGTAATATGTATTATTCTTAAATGGGCCAGTTTTAAAGGTCCAGTGTGTAACATTTAGGAAGCTCTATTATAATATTTTAAGTTTTCAACTCTGTGTAATCACCTGAAAATAAAAATCGTTTTTTGTTACCTTCGAATGAGCATTTTATGCCCACTAATGCTGTGGTTCGCCTACAGTAGCCCAGGAAGGACAAACCAGATACTGACTCTTGATAGGGCCGTTCACCTCTTTTGCACAAATCACGGTTTGTCCTTTGTGTTTGAAAGGGGAGAGTGAAGCAAAAGTGTTACACTACGCTGCTAGATGTCACTATATCCTACACACTGGTCCTATAAGTATTTTCATGCTACTTTTGTACTTTTACTTTTTGTAGATTTTGAATCTAGGAGTTTACTACACAGAGTGTTTTTACACTGTGGTATTGCTACCTTTACCCTGTTAAAAGATCTGAGGACTTCCTCCATCGCTGAGAATAATGCCAACACAAAACTTCATTTAAATGTCTTTAAGCATATATTTCATTATATTCTGCAAAAGATAACTTTTCAACATTATCTTTTTAAAAGATGAGGAGGGAACTCTCCAAAGTCTTATAAAGAAGATCAATAATAACAAATAAAACTAGTAAAACTTGTATTGAAATTTGAGTCCATTTGCTCATTTTGTGGTTCCAGTTCAGGAGCAGCAGGTTGTGGGGCAGTGAGACGGCTTGTGTTCTTCTCATAAATAGTTTGAGACATCACTAGAGGGCCAGTCTTGATCTCAGTGAGACTAACTGGTTTCTCTCTCTCTGTGGTCCGGTGTGCTCTGCTCAGATCTCCTGTGTGGAACAACTCGGGTATGAATCTGATGTTCCACATTCCCCCCGCTGATATCAAAGGCGTGGTCAAAGTATGTGTTGTCCTCCCAGATGGTAGTTGCCATGGCAACTCTAAAATCACCTACCGGTCCTTACCTTCCTGCACCAACATCACACCCAGCAGCACCTGGATCAGGTATGACTGGATATGTTGGTACTTATTATTGCCACACAGACAGAAACAGATGAAGATAAAACATCAGTGAGTCAGTTTCTCTCCTAACTGCCAAACTACACTGTGACATCTGATCTCATCGAGATACTCCAGCTACTACTGGCCTGTTTGACTTTCATCAAACTAAAATGATGTGCTTTTAACATTATTAGATATACTAGTGCAACTTACTGTAGGTGTGTGTCAGTATGAAAGGTCCTCTGCTGCTCTGTGTCCTGTAGTGGGAAGAGGAGGATCACACTCACTGGATCCCACCTGGAGTTTGTGGAAGGGGTTGTGCACAGCCACGCCCTGCAGGAAGTCAGACCTCCCAGAAACCACACCCATCAGGTGAGTTTGTCTCTCTCTACACACACACAGAGACACACCCACAGCCACCGACACCACACACAACCAACACCACGCACACACCACCGACACACACCAGCACCACACACCACCACAGTGTGTTTGGAAGTTTTTGAAAAGTGCTAATGGAAAGAAAGTAAAAGTGAAAAACAGTAAAACATATCCTTCTTCTATGTATCTTACGGTGTCAGTAATTCAATAAAGAACAAAAGTTAGATAACCAGTGATTTAGATTTTTGTTTAAAGAACTGAACTAATTCGCTTTTTTTCATTGTGAACATTTAACATAGATACGTGAGTGAACCCATCCTTGTTTCCTTTTTTTTTTTTTGCCAATTGGGCAAGGAGGTAGCGGATCGGGTACTGACCAGACTTATCGTCCACTGGCAGAGTTTATTGAAGGACCAATGAGCAGACAGCAAAGCACAATTCAATGTCCACAATAAAAAAACAATTCATTCAGATTATTAAAAACAAAAGTCCTAACAACAATTATCCTTTGTTAAAACATGTGATTTTAAAGTTGAATTATGACAGCGTAAATGCCCCCCGTAAAAAGCACACAACTATATGCTAAACAATATTTGTTGTTTTTTCACTTTAATATCCTTGATCTGTTTCTGTTTATGTCACTCCCAATGGTTAGCTGGTGGTAACAGCAAGTGTGGTTTATAACCCCCTAACAGGCAAACACTCCTTGAGGGCCCAGCTAATTTGTCCAGAAATGCGACGAGAAAAAGGGGCTGGTGTATCGTGTTACGGAGTGGCAAGGCTACAAGAAAACGCCTGTTTTTAATAAAGAAGCTGTTTGCCCGCACCAAACAGCAAGCAACAGTCAACACAGTTGTTACCAACAGTAACAAGTTGAAAAACAAGTTGTCCCTAACCAATCCACGCGACTGGCAATGTAAGAAGTGTTCTTGATGAGTGATTGCTGTCAGCCACTCCAGCTGACCTCTCTGACAACACTTGTTGTTTCCTGTGAGTGTTTAGCCAACTGAAATCACCCCTGTCCGACTTTTATTTATTGCAGAAATCCTGATCCTATGAGCACACGCCGGCAGCTGGAAATTATCGAGGAATTTTAAAAGCAGCTGTGTTTTCCTGAAAAGTAGCCCAATGAAACGTTCGGGACTGGCTCCAGCCAAGCAATGACCTACTACCCCAGAACCCTGAGTTTCCACACCCTTTGCACATTAGCAAGGACGGAGACGACGTACGCATCACCCATAGACGGGTAATCGTATATTCTTTTATGCAGCAGATACACAAAAAATGGACATGAATACATACAAACATCAGTATGTGTCTTCTGTTTATGATGCAGAAAAAGGCAGACCCCACCAACACTGCAGATGACAGTGGGGAGAGTTGTCAGTGTGGGGCGTTCAGGGAGGTGAACAATTCCCCCCTGCCCACTCAATGGAAGCCCAAAGAAACCCGTAACGAGACTGAGCCTTCTTTATATGTGAGATTCAAGGACACCCTGACGCTGGTTTCAGCAAGCTTAACAGATAAATCTTTTATTTATCCTTCAGCCATCTACACAATACAAATAGGCACCACAAGTACCAACTTAGTTTTTGTTGAGATTGTAGCAGGATAAAGGTGGGTCATAACACCGCAAAAAAAGCCCTCCAGAAATAATCTATTTGACGCCGTCTCTGGTGGAGATTGTGTAAAATTGCATGTTTTAATAGCAGCTGTTGTCATTTGTTTTCCAGATAAAATATGGTCGACAAGACGGTGAGCTAGGGCCTCCATCTTTATTAGCATCAAGATCTTTCTGATACTGCGCATTCTGGCTGATACCCTGTGTCAGTCGCTGTCTGGTAAGTACCACTAAGTTGGACTGGGATTTAGTCCAGTCAGCTGTTGTCCGGCTCTCTGATATATACACCCCCGTGAATCTGTATTCTTTGGCATGCCCAAATGCCCAATCAAAGACTGTTTGTGTGAAACTGAACTAGAATGCGATTTTGACTTTTTGGAATGAACAATTTATGGATCTGAGTTCTGTTTGTCCTTCCTGTTCAGTTAAAACTAAATAACTGTTTGTCTTTCTCAGTGTTGGTGATTAATCTGTCGATGGCAAAAGAGGCTCACCTGCTGAGATGACAAGATCTGACCATTTAGGTCAACAGCCTGGAAAACTTTGGCCAACTCCTTTATCCAGATGGACATAATGGCCCTCAGGGTTCATTTTGCCTGCACTGAGACCCAACTTGTTCACCCCTCGCCAGCCTGGAGTAAAAGTTCTCCTCGTTTGGTCCTCAAATAATTATGTAAAAAATCTTAAGCATCAGCAGTGAGTGTATAGAGCGACCTTCTGCGCAGTGTTTAGTTCTGAGAATTGTACAGTATCGCTGCAAGTATCTCTTAACGTTGTCCTCAGTTATTGTATCTTATTACGACTTACTGTTTGTTATGTTCCATTATACTTTTTATTGGTCCGCCTCCTCTGTTAGCTGTTAACCCTACGACTTCCTGTGTGTTTGTTCATTTCATTGTTGTATAATGAACATAGAAGTAGCACGTGTGTTTCTGCCAGTTGCAGCCGTTAGAGCGCGTTGGTAAGTGGAGTTTTTGTTACCAGCAGCAACCAAGGTTATCTGTGTCTGTTTCCAAATTCTTTATGCTCAAGCTAAGCTAACAGGCTGCTTGGCTGTTGGCTTCAATGTTCACCCTACAGAGCTTGAGAAATGTAGCATTAGGGCCAATGTAAGTCTTTCCTATTTATCCCGGGTGTGAGGGACAATTGATATAAAGTATCTAGATTTTTATGGTCCAGATGTATATCGAGTGAAATTTACGTTTTGTAATAAAAGGTCCTTTTTTTCTAACTGAGTGAAAGTGTCCAACACAGCGTTTGGATCCTTTTCTAATGAGCAGCAGCAGGCCAGCTCTGGCCCAAAGACCGAACGTGGTGAAAACTGCAGCCCGGTTATATACATCGAAAAGCCACTGGCTGAATTTAGGCTGAAGCCACGCTAGCCAAAGAGCCCTGCAGGCCGAGACTGAGTGGCTGTTGCCAGTATCTCACACACCCCATTTGGCAGAATATTCTGGGAACAGCCACGGGACCCCTTAGCAGGAGAGAAGAGCCTTTCACCATAAGCCTACCATAAGTCGCACCGCTTCGCTTCATCCAGCACAGTGTGTATGGCTGATGAATAGCTTCATATCTCCTCACATGTGTCCGTGTTTCGATATTAGAACTCTTCACCAAACTTGTTGTTAAGATTCCTGTAATTCAGAAGTCTCATCGTTTTTATCGTTCATCCCAAATTTATTTTAAATGACAAAATGTATATTCTTCCAAATTCATTTGAGTAGTTTTATTTTTTGTTCCAGTTTCAGCTTCTTGTTCCTTTACCTTTTGTCCAATGACTGGAGAAAGAAATGATTTTCCCTCTACAAATACTGCCGTTTCGCCCCACCACCCGGAACAGAAGAGGCTGGTGATGACTTTATTTATTACTTAATATCACCAAATTACTTAATGTAGGTTGTCACTCTCTGAGGAAGAGGTGTGTTAAAACCACATATGGTGGCTGGGTTTATGTAGAAGTTGTTCCAGGGGCCAATGCGATGGAGTGCTCTTTGAGATAGAAATTAGCGAATAGGCTGTCAGGCAGCAGGAACACCGGGATCGCATTCAGGGGACTGTAGCCAAAACTCACGGTATACGTAGGCTCCCAGCCACTTTGGTGCTTTGTGGCTGAGACCTAATTCAACTGTGCCTCTGGTAAGACAATCATGTTGTCAGTAACGGCTGTTTAGTACCATTCAGTAGTAATGCTGTGATGTTTTAGGTTTAGGGGTGGGCAAGCAACTCTGATGTATTTTAATAATAACACTGGCGTGGGTCCTGCATAACTTTTACTGCGTACGTAGAAAAGCTGAAAAAGAAATGACTTCAGCCAAGGTGCCAGAGATCAATGTTTTCAATTTACGGCTTTACTTTCCAGTCTTTAGGCTCACAGAAAAGTGGAGAGGTGCTCTGTTTTCTTTACACAGCGTCAGCCAGCACACTGACTGGCAATTTATTCAAGTATTAATATAATCATCTAGCTCCATGTTTATGTTGGTTATCTGTTTGTGTGTAGAATTGATTTTGTGATACGTTCAGGGTTTTTAATCTCCCTTCTCTCTGTCTTCCAGTGCTGGAGGCTGCCTGTGGCCTCCAACGTCACTGGGTGTGTTGGCGGTGCCTGGGAGTTGACTACCTTTAGATGGTCCGTATGGTTTGTGGTGGCCATTTTTATTTGTGTGGTCTGTTTGATTTGAATTTGCTGCAATCTTTGTCTTATGCGCGTACTCCTAACGAGGTTATATACTCACGCTCAAAGGCGGGTACACCTCCAAAGGTTCTGCCCAATGACATACTAATTACAGGTTCTGTTCCAATCTTAGTGTAGCAGAGCCCGTTTTCCAGTGGACGCCCAACCATGGACCAAGCAGCAGCATCTGACTCTGTTTTTTGACCTGAAATGGCCAACAGACACCTTTAAATTAGTATCAGGTAACACCTGTGTTTACGCTTACCCCTGTTTCAACTACTGGTTGAAATGTTAGTTTGGTGGGTCCATAACCTTGCACTCTTTACTTACATGGAGCTGAGCCCAGCTGGAAGTGTTTGAAAGATGGACGGGGTTAAGAAATATGCAAAACACGGATGGGTCATCTGTTTAGGGCCTTAAAGCATTACCCAGTTTGCTTTGCTGACTGTTTGTTGAGCTTGCGATGTCTCCAGTACAACTGTCCATCTATGGCTTGTCAGTCAGATAGTGTGCCTTTCATTAGTTTTGGCGGCCAAGTACGCCTCAGTGTGTGGGGACTTGGCTTGAGCTAGCCGAGGGTTGCCCCGGTTCAAGACCCCACACCAAACACCAAATATGGAATTGTGGACTTGTAGCTGCGAGAGGTGGCAAGTTTCAGCCTCCTGTGGCCAGGTGAAAGAACAATTTCCTTAGGGGATTAATATAGTATAGTCTTTTCTAGCTGGGAGAGTGAGCTGATGTAGTGGTGTTGTTTTCGCAAATGACAACCTAAGAAGAACCTTCTCAAAAGCTGAACAGCCTAAGATGTCTCCCAGGAGTCACTGGATAACTCATCTTTAGCCTCTGTACTGCGTAGTTTGAACATGTACAACGAGCATGATCAGTTGGAAATGCTGCTCCAACCCTGATAATGTTGGTGTGGAGGGTCAGTGGAATTCCCTCGTGCTTTCACCACGAAGATACAAACGAAGTAACTGAAAGCCGCATTACTATCTCGTGTAGAAGATCATCAATATCAACCCCACTTCACACCCATGGTACGGTCCAATGTCCAATTTGTGAGGGAGAGTAGGGAGACAGACCTGTCATCGCTCCTGGATGTTTCTGTTCAGGAGCCAGCACCCACACAACCAGGCACTGCATGCAGGTTCTGTGGTTATTGCCTAAAAACTGTATAGACTTTGTTTTAAACCATGGCTTAAAGTGCGGAAACACATGTGAGAACGAATGAAAAGCGGCGTCTGTTAGATTTTTCGCTTTAAGGCTCCCGTTCCCCACCCCTTCCAGCCACTCCCTCCTTTCAACCAGAGCGCAAAACCTGGCGCTTTTAACGCACCGACTCCCAGTGCAAATGTGGAGGAGCAGAGTGCCATGAAGACCGTCGATGTGTGAGCGTTTTGCTGCCACCCGCTAGAAGATGATCCTGCTGCCCTGGTTGTTGTTCAATTTATCTGGAGAACTGCGGCTCGGTGCTGGAAGAGGGCGAGGATTTGATTTAACGGAGAACATCCGCCAATTTCCGCTGTGTCCAAACAACCACGGTTTACATCGCTAACAGAGGAAAGAAGCTGTACCGAGCTGACACCACGACCTGACCCTGGTCCGGAGTGCCTGACCCCAGAGAGGGAATCGCCTAAAGGGTGCGGAAACCAGGTGGAGGATCGACGTTTCTGACCGGGTTTATGAGACCGGAGAAGTGGAAGCCGCAGACCTTTAAAGAGTCCAACATTTATTACCGGTTTGTTGAGGATCACAGTCTGATCAAGCTGCGGCTATGACGCGAAGAGTGCGGTTAACTGCGAGCTGCGGAGCCCTGAAGAACATTTCTAAATGTGGCGGTACAAAGACCACATCCAGGTGGGGCCCCCATGGCACAACAGGCCGTCCGTGCAGCTTTCTGGATGAATGTGGAGACCGGACAAGACCGGACTTACATTCTGGGGTGCCATACAGGCAATACGAAGACAAATCCCACAGAGACCAACATGCTCGCATTGGATCAAGAGACCCGGTGCAACTTTCAAAATAATACCGCAATAAACAAATCAGAATGGAGGGATATTTTCCCTCCTAGTGAGAGGTTGTCGTTTACACTCCCCCATCAAACATGAAGGCAGCTTGTGGAGTTTGTGGAGGAATTTCAGATCAATTCAACAATGCTTCCTTTTTCTCCTAAACGTGCCCCTCCGAAAGACCAACCGCCCAACAAAAGTCCGTCTGCATTTTGGGCTCCGAGGGCAAAAACGGCAAACTCAGACTGTAAAGTCGCCTGGCGGGGCGCCGAAGCTCTCAGTATCTTCTGGCTGGTGTGAGTCCAGAAGCAGCAGATCTGGCCCTAAACTCGGTGATCCGGGCTGGGCCGCCCGTGCTCTGGAGCGGCGGTGTAAGTGGCGGCCCGGAGGACAAACCAACACCCGAGGCCTGGCTAGTGTTTTGCATGCAGCCCTGATTCTCACCCGGAGACCCCGATGTACGATCCGGACTTGCTGCAGTTCCTGTAACATGCTGCTGATAAACGCAAAACAGACCGGTGGCGTCCTGAATTTTGCTTTCCATCTTGCAAATTTGCAAGAAAGTTCCTAACAAATAAAGTATGATATTGTTTTTAAAATCAAAGGAAACCGTCTGAGCTTATTTTAGTTACCCTTCAAAGGAAAATGGTAGGCCATACAACTTGGCATTATATGGCCTATACTGTCGGATTAAATCCACTATAATTCTTCCCCACCCCTGCAAACAAAAAATATTGCAAGATCCCGAGCCCATTGTTTTAAGTTAAAAAGTTAGAGGCCTCCAAAATTCACTCTTGAGGGTAAACAATTCTGCATGCTTTCCTTCCCCTCTGAAACTATGTTCAGCCCAGAGACCTGGCTGCCACAAACCATAAATCCAATTCAGCCTGGCAGTTGAGCATGATAAAAAAACAAAAAAAAAAAAAAAAAAAAAAAAAAAAAAAAAAAAAAAAAAAAAAAAAAAAAAAAAAAAAAAAAAAAAAACCCAAGATAATTGATTTGGACCACTCATTTACCATGAACTTTAGGGTCTACTGGTCCTGGTGCCTCACCTCCTGGAGTTGGGCAGCCCATGTGCCAGGACTAGGAGTCCTTGCTGGCAGTCGCCTATGGGTTTGAGTCTAACGCTGACCCCTTCTGTTGGCAGGTTGCTCTCCCTCTCCTCTCTCTCCTCTCTCTCTCTCCCTCCTCTCCCTATCCCTTTTCCCTTTCTCCCTTTGCTCTTTTTCTTCTCTTCTCCCTGTTGATCTACATCTTGTCCCTATCCCAATAAGAGCAAGAAAGGCTAAAGGAAAAGGTTTAATTAATCTGGAAA